TTGTATTATCCTGAATAGAGCTGGAGCCCAGTCTACTAAGTGAAGTATCCCAAGAATGGAAAAACAAGCACCACATGTACTCACCAGCAAATTGGTATTAACTGATCAACACATAAGTACACATATAGTAATAACATTCATCAGGTGTCGGGCAGATGGGAGGGGGTAAGAGAGGATGGGTATATACACACCTAATGGGTGTGGTGCACACTGTCTGGGGGATGGACACACTTGAAGCTCTGACTCGGGTGGGGCAAGGGCAATATATATAACCTAAACATTTGTACCCCTGTAATATGCTGAAATAAAAAAATTTTAAAAAAGAAATCTTCATGTCTTGTTCCCCCAGCATCTCCACAGTACCTATCACAGTGCAGGATATATAGAACCAGGGTTCAATTAATACCTGTCAACCAGGCTGAGCAATATAGCAAGACCCTATCTCTACAAAAAAAATTAAAAATTAGCCAGGTATGGTGGCACACACCTGTAGTTCCAGCTACTGGGGAGACCGAGGCAGGAGGATCGCTTGAGCTCAGGAGTTTGAGATTACAGAGAGCTGTGATCGTGCCACTGCACTCCAGCCTGGGTGACAGAACTAGGCTGTCTCTTCAAAAAACAAAAAACAACAACAACAACAAAAATGCTTGTCAGGCCGGGCGCGGTGGCTCACGCCTGTAATCCTAGCTCTCTGGGAGGCCGAGGCGGGCGGATTGCTCGAGGTCAGGAGTTCGAAACCAGCCTGAGCAAGAGCGAGACCCTGTCTCTACTATAAATAGAAAGAAACTAATTGGCCAACTAATATATATAGAAAAAATTAGCCGGGCATGGTGGCTCATGCCTGTAGTCCCAGCTACTCGGGAGGCTGAGGCAGAAGGATTGCTTGAGCCCAGGAGTTTGAGGTTGCTGTGAGCTAGGCTGACGCCACGGCACTCACTCTAGCCTAGGCAACAAAGCGAGACTCTGTCTACAAAAAAAAAAAAAAAAAATGCTTGTCAAAATCAAATTCAGGTGAAATTAAGAGGACAGGCTTGGGAATCAGGACTCAATTAAATCTTAGTTCAAACCCCCTCCCTCATCCCACTTGCATTCTCTGGGCCTCATTTTCCTCCTCTGTAAAATGGACATATCAGGGTTGTTGAGTAAATATGTAACTACTGTAGATGAAAATTAATATTGCAATAAAGCCAGTAGGAGGGATAAGACTAAGCAAATAGTGGCTGGGGTTACTATTATTAGTCTCCTGGGTGTGACTGTGTTTATAGGACTGGGGCACTTGAGCTCTTTGCTGACTTCTGTAGAGCCACACCTCTACCAGGCTCTGAGTCAGGGGTAGCTGGAAGCCACCCTGGCACACTCCCCCACAATGCTTAGGACTCTAACCATTCAGGTGTTCACCTCTTCACCTCTTCATACTCAAGCTCCCAGCTCTCCCAGCTTCTCTTTACAGTTCTCTTCTCTCCAGACCACCCTGGACTCACACTCTGGTCCTACAATTTCTCTCTTCTCTCTCTGCCCCCTCCCCATAACAGCAAAAGTTGCCCAGTCAGACCACAGTTTCCCTTGTTGGGGGATGGGGCCGAGTGTTCAGGATGTGGTGACAGCAGCGATGACTGGACATTTTTTTTTATGTGTCAAATATTTATTTATTTATTTATTTTACTTCAGCATATTATGGAGGTACAGATGTTAAGGTTACATATATTGCCCATGCCCCGTCCCCCCTCGAGTCAGAGCTTCAAGCATGACCATCCCCTAAACATTGCACATCTCACTTATTATGTTTTTATATACCCATCCCCGCCTCCCTGCTCCCACCTGCCCGACTCCAAATAAATGTTATTCCTGTATGTCCACTTAGGTGTTGATCAGTTAATACCAATTTGCTGGTGAGTACATGAGGTGCTTGTTTTTCCATTCTTGGGATACTTCACTTAGTAGAATGGGTTCCAGCTCTATCCAGGAAAATATAAGAGGTGCTATATCACCATTGTTTCTTAAAGCTGAATAGTACTCCATGGTATACATATACCACATTTTATTAATCCACTCATGAATTGATGAGCACTTGGGTTGTTTCCACAGCTTTGCAATTGTGAATTGTGCTGCTATAAACATTCAAGTAAAGGTGTCTTTTTCATAAATTGACTTTTGATCTTTTGGGTAGATGCCCAGTAGTGGAATTGTTGGATCAAATGGTAGATCTACTTGTGTCGCTTTAAGGTATCTCCATATTGCTTTGCACAGAGGCTGAACTAGTTTGCAGTCTCACCAGCAATATAGGAGTGTACTTATCTCTCTGCATCCACACCAACATTTATTGTTTGGGGACTTTTTGATAAAGGCTATTCTTACTGGAGATAAGTGATATCACATTGCAGTTTTGATTTGCATTTCCCTGATGATGAGAGATGTTGAGCATTTTTTCATATGTTTGTTGGCCATTATTCTGTCTTCTTTTGAAAAATTTCTGTTCATGTCCTTTGCCCACTTTTTGATAGGGTTGTTTGATTTTTCCTTGCTGATTTTCCTGAGTTCTAAATAAATTCTAGTTATCAGCCCTTTATCGGATGTGTAGCTTGGGAAAATTTTCTCCCAATCTGTGGGTTGGGTGACTGGACATTTCTGGCCTCTGCCAGCGCCTGCCTCCCCTCAGGACTACCCTGGTTGAAGTTCCGCTGGCTATATGAGCTTCAGCTGTTGGGCTCTGTTCCCAGGGCAGAGGAAAGTCTGAGCCTTTCCTGGGATAGGGAACGCCCAGCGTGTGGCATGTGCACACAAGCCCGGTTACAGTTCCTCACCATCTACAGTAAAAGGGGAGCACAGCAGAAAAGTTCTAAGAGCCTTTTTTAAAAAAAATTTATTTCATACATAACTTTTAACAACTAACAGCCTTTTTTAGCCTGGCCTGCCCAGGGGCCTGACTCACATCTTCCTGCCTCCATCCCAAAGGGGGCTGCAGGGCCCCAGCCAGTGCCCCAGCTCTGAGGGTGGCAGTCTACATGCCAGTGAAAGCCAACTAGGCCGGAAGTGGGAGACCTCAGGCGAAGGAAGCGCCGTGCTTCTAGCCTTGGTATTCTGGCAACAGCTGGGGGTCTGGACGATTTTGAGCCAGGACTGTGAGTATACGGGTGCACACCTCCCCCACAATAACAGGCCCACCTTTGCACTCCCCATTGCCACGCACAATAATTATGTGTGAGCCACTGCACACCTTCAAAAAGGTGAAATGAATCAATGGGAAAAGTGTAGGGCAGAGGAAGGGCAGAAGAATTCTTCCAATTGTCGGGAATTTACTTGGGTGGGGCAGTGAGCTAACCGCAAACCTTTGCTTCTGGTCATTGCTTGCTTGCTACACCGCTGTAGGGGGAATTATGGGATGAGGTCATTGAAGCACGGGCGACTGGCCCATCAGGCAATAGAGGGCAACCAACCCGCCAATTATTTCAAAAGGCAATAGTGGGCAACCAATCATTTTAAAGATCAACGCATGATCCATGCGTAGTCGGCTTGTGCGCAGCTTGTGCACCACGGGGATAAAAGGCATGCCTTTGTTCCGGTCGGGGTCCTTGCCTGTGAGAGTGGCCACTGCGTTGGTGCTCTGGGGCTTGGACCCTGGCTAGCCAGAAAATAAACCTCCTCTTGTGTGATTGCATCCTCGATGTCTCTGCTTTTCTGTCCGGTGGGGCTGTGGAAGGTCCGTCCCTAACAAAAAGGAGCAGGAGTTAGCTAAGACAAAAAGAGTAGGGAGAAAGCACCCCGGGCTGAGGACAGGCGGAAGTAAAGATCCATCTGGAAGCATGAAAGAAATGGCACGAAGCTTGTCAGTGCTTACAAGAAGAGGCACTCCTCAAAACCGGATCGATCCCCCCCGCTTTACAGAGTGGACTGGGCAACCGCACCCCCCCTAGAGCACCTGGCAAGTTGAGACTGGATGGAACCATTTTAATACTTCCCTCGCCAAAACCAGAAGCGCAGGGCTGGCCGTTCTGGACCGGCCGTACCATTGACCTTGAGAGAGGAGTGCGGGCTGACTGACTGGGCAGTGGGACCGGGCGGGGACCAGACCAAGTGGACGCTCTGGGCAGTGCCAGTGCGAGGCGAGCCTGGCACACCAGATCCAAGTTGGGCGGCACCAACGGAGCACCGAGCAGTCTGACATAGGCTCAGTGCCTCAGCCTTCTGGCTGACATCTCCTGAGCAAGCTGCGCCGCCCCAGAGGCCCCTAGAGCCTTCAAGAGACGTTCCCCTCTTGGCACTAGCCAGGGCCCCGGGGAACCCGGAATGCGGTTCTCAGGGTCCTCCTTGAGGCTCTCAGTGGGAGGAACCGCGGAACCATGGGCTGCCACCTCTGGACTAGGCTCCAGGCTATCCCGAGTCTTGTGCGTTGTGCAGGATCGAGGGTACTGAACTGGGGAATTGCTGCTGCGGTGAGACCTCATCACCTCCCGCTCCCCAGGATCCGAGATGTGATCTGCGGGTGATGGGACTGACAGTTAGATTGGGTGGTGAAGTGGGGAACCGAAATGGGGCCCTTAGCTAAGGGTGGCCAAGAGAACCCAAGGGCTTCAGGAGACAGAGATTCCGCCCCTTAGAGAAACCTCTCTTCAAGGCCTGGAAGTGTCCCTTCAGAGACCAGCACCACCCCTCACAAACCCAGACACCTCCTTTCCCAAGAACCCTTCCCTCCTGGATCCAGAACATGCCCCCTCAGAAATCACTTCCCACAGCCAGCCAGGTGTGGTGGCTCATGCCTGTAATCCTAGCACTCTGGGAGGCCGAGGCAGGAGCATCGCTCAAGGTCAAGAGTTTGAGACCAGCCTGAGCAAGACCCTGTCTCCACTAAAAATAGAAAGAAATTAATTGGCCAACTAAAAACATATTAAAAAATTTAGCCGGGCATGGTGGTGCATGCCTGTAGTCCCAGCTACTCAGGAGGCTGAGGCAGAAGGATTGCTTGAGCCCAGGAGTTTGAGGTTGCTGTGAGCTAGGCTGACGCCACGGCACTCTAGCCTGGGCAACAGAGCCAGACTCTGTCTCCAAAAGAAAAAAAGGAAAAGAAAAGAAATCATTTCTCACAATTCCACAGAAAATCAAACACCAGTCTTAACCTAAGGAGGACAAACCCATCTAGGACCCCTGACTCTCCCCTCTCTCATCTCACCTCCCTTGATGCACAAACCCTCTCACTTAACAACTTTGTCTTTCAGAACTAGACACCCTACCTTCTGGATCCCCATTCCATTTCCTCTTAGCTAGGACCCACTCTGCCTTCCTCTCCTAGAACTAAGACTCTTCCATCTGAACTCTAGATTTTACCCCAGACCCCTTCCCTTCTCTCCCCTCCCAGTACCTCCAAAGCCTCCCTTCTGAAATTCCTATCTTTGGGACCAGTCCCCTTCCCTGTCCCTGCTTTATTCCCTATCCTGGGACCCTGTGCCCCTCCCTGTCCTCACTTTTGAGAATACTCTGACCCCAGGCAGACACGGAACACTGGACCCTCCCGACGGAGACCATCAAACCCTTCCCATTCAGAAGCCCAGCCTCTCTGCAAATCTCTCCTTCTCCTCACTGATCCCTGACCCCTCTCCCCTGGGAAACCACCTCCTTTCTGGGACCTTCACACCCTCTCAGGCTTGCCGGGATGGGTCTTGAGAGGGGGGTGGAGCACCAGGCAAAGCCGGGGACCTCCAGCGCGGAGGTCCGCTCCACAGCCTGGGCATGGGTGAGGTTCTGCGTTGACTCTCCGTTGATGGGGAGCACTAGGTCGCCGACCTGCAACAGTCCGAGGCAATGGTGTTGTAGGAATGGAAAATGGAGAGCACCCCAACAAAGGAAGAGATAATAGCACCAACCATGGAAATGTGTCTTAGAGCTCACCTGCAAGCGACCACAACGCTGTGCAGGGCCGTCCTTCAGCAACCCAGGAACGGCCAGCGGAGCGTCCCCACTTACATCGCCGCCGCCGCTTAAGGTGAGGCCAAAGCCTGTGGAACCACGGACCAGCTCCACATACAACTGACCAGAGGTCTGGGACGGCTTCGAAGCATGACGTGCCTTACTCTGGGTCACTCCGGGCGATTCACTACATGTACCCAGGGTCTCTGACCTATGATGCTAGAGTAAGGACACAGGTGTACAGAGATTGCCAGCCCGAAGGCAGGTGACCTCAAATAGAAGAATGAAGAGGTACCTGGGGCTGGTGACCCACAGCAATGGGATGAGGCAGGCGACTGTCTGTGACCTCTAAGTCTGTAGAGTCCAGTATGCTAACAGCTGGGGGATGAAAAAGGCAAAGAGGGCTGTGGGGGGGACACGCTATGGAAACTACCTAAGACTCGCTCCTTAAATTAACATTCTAGCCTGATCTACTTGCCTGCCTTCTACAACACACGTACAGACTGGCCCACCATTTAACTAGACAGCACCCACTCAAGTAGTCTTAAAGGCTCAGCACACACAAATAACTGTGACTCAGCCTCCTTAACAAATAATCCTGGGCCCGCCCATTGGAATAATCCTACAGACCTCCCATCTCCCCCTCATAACAAGCAGAACCCACCCCTCAAACAACAGCCTTCGACCCACCCTGGAGGGTGCTACCCAGGAATTTGTCAAACCCTCTGATTAGCCTCGAATCCTCACCCCATTCCTCACATTTCAAGCCCCGTCCCTTTGCCTAGCTTTCCAGACCCCCCCCCCTTTACTGAGTACCAGCCCCCAGCACTCTCCAGGCCCCGCCTCCTCAGAAATGACATTCGAAGCTCCGTTGACCAGAATAAGGACCCAGCCTCGCACTCTCAACTAATCTGACACTCGCCTACTGCAATAGCCCTCCAGGATTCACTAGGATAACCCCACGGCCCCGCCCCCTGGAAGCACCCACAGGGCCCCGCCCTGCCGTAGCACACCCCTCGGCCCCACCCAGGGGAATAGCTAAGAACCCCGGACCCGCCACCCCTGGACCCACCTCCACGCCGACGCCGCCCCCCGAGAGGCCCCGTTCCCGTCACGCACCCTCCTTAGGGCGCAGGTACAATGTGGCGCCGGCCCTGCGCACCAGCGCCGCCACGTCGGCCGCAGCTCGGGCCGCCAGGGGGCGCGCGGCCAGCCGTGCCAGGAGCTGCTGGGCGCTGGGGCCCGCTAGCAGGGGAGGGTCGCGGCCTGCGCGGGAGAGGTGGACAAGTCAACTGCCAACCCTGAGCCTTGGAGAAACCCCAAGCTTCTAGACGTCCGAAGACTTAGAAATGCCCCTCAAGATACCCCGAGATCCCCCCAGCCACTCCCTCGATAGTTCTGGAGCTCCCCCCTCTGTCCCTCTCCTCTCCCACTACCCCCGACTATCTCGAGTATGCCGGTGGACCTCCACCTACCCCAAAGATGTCCCGGAGATAGCTATTTGACAGCAGTAGTCCTGGATACCTCTGAACATCCTGTGATTTTTCTCTACAGGTCCCCAACTGCCCCCTAATAGCCCCAGATGCCAAAGTCTTCCCCCAAGATATCTCCAGGGACCCTGATTCCCACAGATATCCCGACCCCATAGCCCCAAGGACCCCAATTCCCCCTCCAGATATTGTAGGCAACCCCTGCTACCCGGTGAATTCCTTCAGAGGCTCCGTTTCCCCCGTTTCCCCACAGGGCCCACCTACCTCCAGATTCCCCCTCTGCAGGGGCCCCCAGTTCCCCCTGACTTCCCCTCACCCTGTTCACTCCAGACCCTGAGTGCCCAGGTGTCTCCAGTGATCACGGGAAGACCCCTCCCCGCACATCTCCCCGGGTCTGGTGCACGGCCCCTTTGTTTGAGTGTGAATAGGAGACCTCTAGCCCAGCTCCGTCGCTGGTTCCCTGCCCTCTGCCACCGCCCCTTGGGCGCCAGAGCTGCTGTTTACCACCTATCCAAGAAAAAGGTGAGGAGCAGACAGGCGGGGCGACGGTGGCAGGGGATGCGCCTCCTCCCTTCCTCATGCCCGGGTACCTCCTCTGCTCCCCCTAGGGTCCGTGGCGCCCCCTGCACGCGGCTCCATGGCCAGTGGTCCGCCCAGTGGACACACAGCCTCCAGCGACGCGTTTTGTGCGCTGGAATGCACTCACCTGGCGGCCTGCCCAGGCCTGGAGCCTGAGGCTGGCCAGTCCCGTGCCTGCTGCCCCTACCCGTGTGGTGACCTACCTGGTGGCCAGCGAGGAGGCCTGGCTGAGATAGGCAGCAGAGATCGGCCTCCCTCTGCCTCAAGCGCTATCTTGGCTAACTGAAGACCCTGGATGGGCTCCTTTTTCCATCCAGAGGATGTTGTTACTGCATGCATAGGAAGGGAAGAGGACACCCAGAGAAGTTAGGGTACCGTTTGAGTTCTGACAACTAAACACAAGGTTGCATAACTAGAGCCCGAGTTTACCAGGGAATTCTGCAATGGCCAACAGAACTTTGCACATAGTAGGCTCTCAGTAAATTTGCAGTAAGAGTTTGTCTATCACAGTCCCTACTGGGGAACTGGCAAGGTATTGGGGGTCTGGGAAGGGGCACCCTTGGAGCTTTTGGGGCCACAAAAGGTTTTGGGGCCCTGAGCTTTACGGGGCTTGAGGACTGAAAAAGTGGGGAGACCAGGTCCTCTGAAGAGTAGAGAGGAGGTAGGGGCCTGGAATTAAGGTGGCTTTGGAGGCACTGGGGTGGGATGGTACAATAGCCAATGTCAGTGGAGGAATGAGGCCTCTCCTAAGTTTGAAAATCGGTGTCTGGGAACATAGGCCTCAAGGGGGGTGCACTTGGGTACAATATGACTGTAGTGGAAGGAGGAATTAAGTTGCAGTGAGAAAGGGCCTGTGACCATCACTTTGCTGAAGAAGAAACTGAGGGTCTGAGAGGCTCAGAGGCCTGCCCAGGGCCCCCATAGCCACCCAACAATGACACCAGTCTCAGGCAGCTTATCCCCAACACTCACTTGGTTGATGACTGTTTCACTGTAGGCTGTGGACACACTGGGTCCTCATGTCCATTCTGGCTGGTTCTGCAACCTCTCTGGTCCATCTCTCAGAGGCCCAGCATTGTCATAGGTGAAAGGGGTGAACAGTTCCTGCTTTCATTCCTCCTACAATCCCTTGCCCCTCCCACCTCAGACCTGACTTTATCTGAGGGAGGACACACTGGGCCTCCTTCACTGCTCTGCCCAGTTCTTGAGACTTCCAGTGCTGCCGGAAGATGGAGAGGGCAACTTCTCAGTCTGGGGCACCAGGTTTCAGGAGGCTGTGGATGGGGTAACAATGCTTACACACTGGGGAAGGGGAGTTCGAGGCTCTGTAGCTCTGTGGATGGGAGGGTCTTACAGACTGGGGCATCTTCCAAGCGCTGAGGATAGGTGGATGGTGAGAGGAGGCTTCCATGCGCCAGGCAGCATCCATGCTACCGAAGTAGGTCAGGGAGCTTGTCAAAAGGATGAGAGGCTTGAGGGTCTGGTGATGGGAACCTGCTTCCAGACTGGAAGATACTCAGGCTTGGGGGGGTCATTAAGGAATGGGGGATCCAAGGATGTCCTCAGCGATGAATTACAGAGATGAGTGCCCCAGGATGCTAGATAAGGGTTCACTGAGAGAGCCAATGCCAGCAGGGCCAAAATTCTGGGAGCAGTGGCAAGGACTGGGGTTGAGAGAGTGAGACTGCTGGAAGGATTGGGGGTCCAGATGGTATGCAGATGTGAAGGTGGAACCCCAGCCAATGCATTGTCTGAAGCCCCAATATACCCCTCCAGGAAGTGGGAGTGATGAGGAATTCGTGGTAAGATTGGCAAAGGAATTAAGAATAAAGCTTCCAAATTGCCAGCATTGGGCACAGTCAAGCTATTTGGTAGCAGCATTGGCACTCATCCTTAACTAATATTGACTACAGTCACACTGCACAGAGCCAAAGCCCCTCTTAGTCCTGCTCCACTGTTGGTTCAAACCAGTGCCTCTCTTAGCCTCCTCCATTAATGAATGGGGACAAATTACCCCTTTTAGCATCATCTCCTTCAAGGATTTAAGTCAATCCCTCTCATAGCCCCACCCAATTCATTAATTAAACTTTTTATTTTATTAACAGACCATGGTATGATTGACATTCAATTTGATAGATTTTGAATATGTTTACATTGGTGAAACTATCATTGCAATCAAGATATTGAACACAATCATCTCTGCCAAAAGTTTTCTTCTGTCCCTTTGTAATTCCTCTCTCCTGCCTTCTAGGTCCCCTCCCCTAAAGCAATCTCTGATCTGCTTTCTGTCACTGTGTATCAGTTTGCATTTTACCAGATTTTTATATAAATGGAATCATACAGCAGGTACTCTTTTTTGGAGGGTAGGTCTGGCTTCTTCTATTTACCATAATTATTTTGAGATCCATCCAAATTGTTCATTCCTTTTTTTTTCTTAAGAAAGGGTTTTGGGTTGGGTGAGGTGGCTCACACTTCTAATCCTAGCACTCTGGGAGGCCGAGGCGGGAGGATTGCTCAAGGTCAGGAGTTCAAAACCAGCCTGAGCGAGACCCCGTCTCTACTATAAAAATAGAAAGAAATTAATTGGCCAACTAATATATATAGAAAAAATTAGCATGCCTGTAGTACCAGCTACTCGGGAGGCTGAAGGAGTAGGATTGCTTGAGCCCAGGAGTTTGAGGTTGCTGTGAGCTAGGCTGATGCCACAGCACTCACTCTAGCCTGGGCAACAGAGTGAGACTCTGTCTCAAAAAAAATTTGTTTTTGTTGAGATGGGTGTCTCACCATGCTTCTCAAGCTGATTTCTGACTCCTGGCCTCAAGTGATCCTCTCACCTTAGCCTCCCAAAGTACTAGGATTATAGGTGTGAGCCAGAATGCCCAGTCATTCACTCCTTTTTATTGCTGAGTTGCATTCCACTGTATTAATGGATCAGTTTGTTGATCCATTTACCTACTGATGGGCATTTGGGCTGTTTCCAGTTTTTATCTTTAAAAAATTTTTTTTAATTCATAGTTTTTTATTATTTTATTTTATTTTATTTTCAGGCAGTCTCACTCTGTTGCCTAGGCTAGAGTGCCGTGGCGTCAGCCTAGCTCACAGCAACCTCAAACTCCTGGGCTCAAGCAATCCTTCTGCTTTAGCCTCCCAAGTAGCTGGGACTACAGGCATGTGCCACCATGCTCGGCTAATTTTTTCTACATATTTTTAGTTGGCCAATTAATTTCTTTCTATTTTTTTTAGTAGAGACGGGATTTCGGTCTTGCTTAGGCTGGTATCGAACTCCTGACCTTGAGCAATCCTCTCGCCTCGGCCTCCCAGAGTGCTAGGATTACAGGCGTGAGCCACCGCGCCCCGCCTTGAAGGGCATTTCTAAGTCTTCGGACGTCTAGAAGCTTGGGGTTTCTCCAAGGCTCAGGGTTGGCAGTTGACTTGTCCACCTCTCCCGCGCAGGCCGCGACCCTCCCCTGCTAGCGGGCCCCAGCGCCCAGCAGCTCCTGGCACGGCTGGCCGCGCGCCCCCTGGCGGCCCGAGCTGCGGCCGACGTGGCGGCGCTGGTGCGCAGGGCCGGCGCCACATTGTACCTGCGCCCTAAGGAGGGTGCGTGACGGGAACGGGGCCTCTCGGGGGGCGGCGTCGGCGTGGAGGTGGGTCCAGGGGTGGCGGGTCCGGGGTTCTTAGCTATTCCCCTGGGTGGGGCCGAGGGGTGTGCTACGGCAGGGCGGGGCCCTGTGGGTGCTTCCAGGGGGCGGGGCCGTGGGGTTATCCTAGTGAATCCTGGAGGGCTATTGCAGTAGGCGAGTGTCAGATTAGTTGAGAGTGCGAGGCTGGGTCCTTATTCTGGTCAACGGAGCTTCGAATGTCATTTCTGAGGAGGCGGGGCCTGGAGAGTGCTGGGGGCTGGTACTCAGTAAAGGGGGGGGGTCTGGAAAGCTAGGCAAAGGGACGGGGCTTGAAATGTGAGGAATGGGGTGAGGATTCGAGGCTAATCAGAGGGTTTGACAAATTCCTGGGTAGCACCCTCCAGGGTGGGTCGAAGGCTGTTGTTTGAGGGGTGGGTTCTGCTTGTTATGAGGGGGAGATGGGAGGTCTGTAGGATTATTCCAATGGGCGGGCCCAGGATTATTTGTTAAGGAGGCTGACAGTTATTTGTGTGTGCTGAGCCTTTAAGACTACTTGAGTGGGTGCTGTCTAGTTAAATGGTGGGCCAGTCTGTACGTGTGTTGTAGAAGGCAGGCAAGTAGATCAGGCTAGAATGTTAATTTCAGGGATGAAGCCTAGATCGTTTCTATGGTGAGTCCCTAACCACTTTCTCTGCCTCTTTTATCCCCCTGTAGTTATGGTGCTGGACTCTTATGGACAATAATGGCATGGATAGTCGCCTGCCCCACAGACCCCTTTGCCTACTACGCAGACATCCTAGCATGGCAAATACAGTAAGACATGAAAAACCTTGGGTACTTTT